TTTACTCTTTTTTTTTTTTTGAGTTGGAGTCTCACTCTGTTGCCCAGGCTGGAGTGCAGTGGCACGCTCACGACCACCGCAGCCTCGACCTGCTGGGCTCAGATGATCCTTCCACCTTAGCCTTCCAAGTAGCTGGAACTATAGGCATGTGCTACCATGCCCGGCTGTTTTGTTGTTGTTGTTGTTGTTTTATTGTAGAGTCAAGGTCTCTCCATGTTGCCCAGACTGGTCTCAAACTCGTGGGCTCAGGCAATCCTCTCGCCTCAGCCTCCCAAAATGCTGGGATTACAGGCTCGAGTCACTGTACCCAGCCTACATTTTATATTTAATTATATTGCATCAAAATGTTCATATTTGTACGTTGTTTGCTCTATTTATTGTTAATTATAATTGTAAAGTTAATCTAATGAAAAAAATTAACACTTGGAGCTTTACAATGATAGAAAGTTTAATCAAGTAAAATTTCTATACACAGGTATACTTTATCATAGAGAAATATGACAGACTGTTCAATAAAAACCTTAAAACCTAAAGTTTAAAAAGGTATTCCAGTAGGATGTACCTGTGGATAGGATGGTTCACCAGTGAAAACAGGATATAGGAGTTCAAGGAGAAATAAGAGTAAAATAAATTCAAACTATTAAAGAATTTATTCATCAGTTTTTTCTAATTGATGGCACTGAGCATCAAATGACATGGCGTTTAGATTCTACTGGCTACATTTTAAAGGAATGTAACTATTTTATTTTAAAACATCAACATTTATAATATTCTGAAGTTTCATCCTTGGCAATTTTTCAAACTTTTGATGAAAAATTTAACTGCCACTACAGAAAGATTTAAGGAAGTATGGCGGTTTTTTTAAGGGTTGCATGAGCAAAAGCTTTTGAAGACCTCTCCAATATAATATTAGGGGTAGTCAAAACAATTAAAGGTTCAAGCGTATGTGATATAAATTATACCCAGAGCCATGGGCCACAATTACATAATACCAAAGCTCAAGCAAAATCAGAAACATTTGGTAAAATAATATCAGGCGGTTCAAAAGAAACTTTAGATATTGAGTAAATAAAATAATCAGTAAAATGGTGATTTGCATCCATTCTCAGTCTCTATTTTAACCCTGAATCGATCCAATATTAACCTTGCAGGCTTGTTGTAAGCAGGCAGAAAACAGGGTAAGAACATATTTCATTAAAGAGTGAAAATTTCCTACCACATCTCTGACTTATAAACAGAAGCCCAGCTGGGACTCATTCTCACTGTTTTCAAGTTAAATTTAGGTTATTGGACTGATTATAAGTCTGAGATGCAGCAGCTCAGCTTATCCTCGTTGTGGCAGGTGGAATAAGTAACATAATAATGTCAGGTCTGAGACAACACAGCAATGAAAGGAACAAGTAGAAGAGAAAATCAAGGAGAGAAAAGAGGAGGAGAAGTGTGAAGGGGAGGCAGGAAAGAGAGACAAGTGTGTAGTAAAGATGAGGGGAGGAGACAGAGATTCTCATTGGTAATGGGCTCACAGGCCCAGCTCACCAACTTGGCATTCACCAAGGCGGAACTTCCAATCAACCTCTCACTAAAGGACGGTGCCTGAAAATCACTTGCAGAGCTTAGTCAGCAACACTAAAGTGCACAATGCTCCTAATTAGTTAGGGTATGCATTAGTTATCCTAATGCCCCAATGATCTGAATGGGAAGAGAACTATTACAGTGATACATAAAGCAACACCAAAATGTATGTCTCGCTATATAAATTGACATGAAACATATCATGATAATCGTTGAATGCAAAAACATATTACCAAAATTACATGCATGGTTTATTTTTGTTTTTTAAAAAATACAATTTATATTTGTGTTTGTAAAGAAAAAATCTGAAAAAAAAACTTGCCAATCTCCAGGTGGTAAGATTCTGTGTGATATTTTGCTTTTTCTTATACCTTCCAGATTCATCTGTTTTTCTCACAAGAAAAAAAAAATCTAACCCCCCCAAAAGCAGTATTTATTATAAAATAGCACATTCTATGCAACTGAGTAAGACTGTCTTCTATGAAATATTGATTTTCTTTTTTGGGTCTTGATATTTCATTGATGTTTAATAAAATTACATGTAAGAGAGAATGTGGTTTAAGAGAGGACACTCTTCCCACTGCTAAATTTCTTCTCTGTTGTTCCCCCTTCTGGACTCATCTGTCGTTTCAAATCTCTGCCATACCTCCACTCCCTCTTATACCCCCCTCATACCTGCAGAATCTGCTCTGCACCCCTCCACCAGTCCCAGTCTCTCTCTTGCCTCTCAGTTCATTGCAGTACCCCAGTTGTACTCTGCCCCCAGACTTGCTAAAGCTCACAATAATATCTTAATACTTCTCTAAGTCTCCCCTCTGCCTGATGACAGTTCCCAACTCTGGGGATGCTCCTCCTCCTCCCAACTTCCAGGCTCTACTAGAGAAGTCACAAAACAGGCAAGCTGCACATCCTTGTCTTGCTTCCTCATCTCAGCTGGTCCACAAAAGCTTCATCAACAGTGGAATAATAGTTTACTTCCTCTGTTTCTAATTTTCTGAGCTGAAGTGTTTCCTAATGCAACAATGCCAGATAAGCCTAACTCTCTGGTCTGATTCAGGGTATTTGGCAGGCTTCCTGTCGCCTTCTGTACCACAGACCCTTAGAGACCTTTGCCAGTCTCCTCTAGCAGCTCGCCATTCCTGCTCACTCTGACTCCAAAAGCTATGGAATAAGTATGTGCATAATTTCCCTTCATTTAACCTCAACATGGTTCTCTCTCTTCATGGTATTCTTTTGGTCTTCTATTCCAAAGGAAGAGTTATTCTTTCTCATTATCAGGTCTAACACTTTTACCTGAACTTTTGATTCAGTCATTTTGATTCTCTTAATCACAACTATAACTACCACTTGACTTCTTCCTCCTTTTTTTCCCTCCCTTCCTCATTTCTTCTCCCTCTATCACTCCTTCTCCACAAACCCCTTTTCCTCTCACTGTAGATTGTACATTGGATCATGGTTTCTCAACCTAAAAAAAACGCCTTTATCAAATTAGCCACTTAAACTGCATCGTGCATGCTTCTCACATGTCTTTTATCTTCTAACTTGTTGAAAATTGAATCTACAATTGCTATTCCCACTACCTCAGTAACTCATTCCTTGACTCCTACAATTTGACTTATGCCATTTGCAAAAGTTAGCAATGACTGTCTGCTTTCAGATACCATGGTCTTCTCATTTGCTATTCTCCATGACCTTGCGACGAAACATAAACCATCAAAAATCCTCTTTGTTTAACTTTTGATCACTCCATTCCACTCATTCTGCCTCCTTTCTGGATACTTTTTCTCCACCTCCCTATCAATTCTCTTTTCTAGACTCTGTTTTCTTACCTAGCCTCTGCCACACTGCTCCTTCTCATACTAACAAAATGCACTCTGCACCCACAACCCTGGTCCTTCAGCCTCTATTCTGAGTTCATCAGAGCCCTCTGCTTTGAGACTTCTTCCTTCTATCTCCTGAAAAAATGTAAGCATTTCCCACAGCATTCTATTCTCTGCTACTTCATTTCTTTTCTTAAACAATTTCATGTAGTATCCTCACTTTCTTCAACTTCCAATAACACTAATGCTCGAAAAAATTTTCTGATTTATATGTACCTCAAATATTAGATGCACATTGAAAAGAAATAAAACAAACTTGAGTCATTATTTCCCTGCAGTGATGCTCTCCTGATGAATTTTCTGTTTATATTAATAGTACTTCAATTCTCCCAAAAGCCAAGTTTAGGTCACCAGAATCGTCTGACTCTCTCCCTTCTCATACCATGGTCTGTAAGCTCAGCTCTATCTGTTCCCAGGAGACTGTGGATTTGCAAGACTTCCGTGGGATGAAGCTGTTTTGATAAGAGGAATTGATGGGGACGAGCCTTTCATCCAGAGTAAAACAAGAACCCAGGCACAAAGACTCTAAGACAGAGAGCATTACAGAAATGGTGAAAAGCTATTATTAGCTGGAAGGGTAGAGGAAATAGTGAGAACAGGTTTGGGATGTCAGTTTAGGAGCGGATCCTGAAGCATTAATAAATCGGGCTAAGGAGTTTGAACTTTATCAGGTAGAGTTTGGGAATAACAAAACCATTATCTTTAGAGCATGTTATTGACATGAAGGGAGGATTACAATGGAAAGTACTTGAAGTTGAGATACCCAGGAATTAGAAAGTGAATTTTGGAGCTGAAGTGACCATCTCCACCATCTCCCTGTTTCCAGTGTCACTTCAGCTCCAAAATTCACTTTCTGTCTTACCTAAGCAATTGCGAATTCCTGGGTATCTCGACTTCAAGTACTTTCCATTGTAATCCTCCCTTCATGTCAATAACATGCTCTAAAGATAATGGTTTTGTTATTCCCAAGCTTTACCTGTCAAAGTTCAAAATCCTTAGCCCGATTTATTAAATGCTTCAGGATCCACTCCTAAACTGACATCCCAAACCTGTTCTCACTATTTCCTCTACCCTTCCAGCTAATAATAGCTTTTCACCATTTCTGTAATGCCCTCTGTCTTAGAGTCTTTGCGCCTGGGTTCTTGTTTTACTCTAGATGAAAGGCTCGTCCCCATCAATTCCTCTTATCAAAATAGCTTCATCCTACAGAACTCTTGCAAATTCACACTCTCCTGGGAAGCCTTCTTGCAATGCACTCAGATAACTTGAACTGTCTGCTCTAACCTCCGTGGTAAGTGGTATCCTAACGTGTAGAATTGTGTGTTCATCTTCTAGAAAAAAACTAAAAGAATTATAAGGGTAAAAAGTCTGTGTTATTTATTTGTATTAGTATAATTATTCCATATTATCAATAAAATGTACATTAATAAGTGAATAACAGAATATTCTCATTGTTTTATGGCTCTACTTTTATATTATATAAATTTATACTAATTGTGTGCCTTTTATAACAGGTGGTGCTGGAAGTAAACAGTGAATTTATTGTTGAGGTAATGTATAATAACTGTTTTCTCAATTTATAATATAAGGAAAACGATTTTGTAATATTTCAATAATCAGAATATTTGAAATCGTAATCATCCAGATAAAAGTCAAGAGAAAGAACTTCTGCTGAACTAAAATAGTAAATGGTAAACCCATACTCCCAAACTTTTTGCTTTTAGGTCATAGTTTGCAACAGCTCAGTGTCTTTAGTAACTCCTATTTATCAAACTATAGTAGCAGCACATGTATATATATGTATGTGTATATACATGTGTATATACATATATATATCTTTCCCAACCTATAGCTAAGCAAAAGGAACAAACTAACACTTTAGAATGGGGAGAGGATTTGTAAACACATCAGAAAAAAAGACAACTGATGGTCTACCAATGAGAAAAAGGCACCAAAATTTAAAAATATGTAATCACAACTACATAGAAAACAGAGAATCTGGAGACTTAGAAAATAAAACTACTGTCCTGTAGCTTTATTTTATTGTAGCAGTTAAATTTTAATTAAGATCACCTCAATTCACTGGAAAAAAATAAAATTACTGTTCTAACCTCTGTTGGCAATATAGGGAAAAAGCGGTACATTTCAGGAAGTTGAATCAAAATGTGGAAAAAATAGAAATGCACTGGTTCTTGAAAGGGTAAGCTCTATTCCTTGAAGCATCTCCTTCCCCTGAAGTGGTTATTAAATGAAGCTTAGCGCCAGTCTCGGTGGCTCAGCCTGTAATCCCAGCGCTTTGGGAGGCTGAGGTGAGTAGATTGCCTGAGCCCGCAGGTTCGAGACGCCCCTGGGCAAGCAAGACCTCATCTCCACAATAAATCAAAAATCAGCATGGCGTTTTAGCGCGTGCCTGCAGTTCCAGTTACTCGGAGGCTGAGACGGAAGGATCGCTGAAGCCCAGCAGGTCGAGGCTGCGGTGGCCGGGAGCGGCCACTGCACTCCAGTCTGGGTGACAGAGTGAGACTCCAACTCAAAAATAAAATAAAAAATAAAAACCAAATAAATGAAGCATAGTTAAAGTAAACATATAATCACCTATGTTTCAATAGGCACATTAGGACTTACAAAAATAAATATTCATGTGTATATGTTTACAAATGTCTACAAATATGCTTGTACATGTAGTGCTATTTCTAAACTCTTTAATAGTATGAAATTCTTAAGCACTCATCAACAGTGGCAACGTAAGTCTACCAAAGGAAAACTGTACAGCAAGCAGAAATACAAATGTGCTACTCTGAGAAGCCATACAAACTTCTATGGAATTAGTGCAGGACCCATCAATTCAGTTAAAACTATTTTTCCTAATTCTGTAATAATATGTATGGATGCTTAGCCACATTGGTGCTCTTCTCAACAGAAAAGAAGAATCACTTCCCTGTGTGAGGTGAGCATTACTCATCGATACAACTTTCACTGTGTATGGGGTGTGGTTACATGGACAGTGGTGATTTTTAAACTCTTATAGACTGTCAGGCCTGGTCGAAGCTCAATGAAGGGTGAGGCCAGGCCCCCACCTGGTGAGGATAGATTTAAAAAAGAAAAACTGCACCATTAATAGAGTATAGCACATTACACACTCCACAGAGCTAATTAAATTTGTTTCACTAGCATCAAACAGTTGGAAGTGAGAGTGATTCCAAAAGCTGTAGCAGGTGGGAGTGACCAGGCCTTATCCATCCAGAGTCATGAAGTGGTGACAACTTTCTCTGTCCTTCAAATTCAATAGGCTTGTTTCTTCTGGATGTACTTTAACATGTTAAATAAATATCCTTACTAAGTAAAATTGTTCTAACACTGTAAGAAACGTGAACATTTTTGCTTAAGGTGAAGGAATTAGACATTGAAAATGGCACTACAAAATGGCAAACTGTCAGGAGACAAAAGCGAGAGTGGATCAAATTTGCCGCAGCCTGTCGAGAAGGAGAGGACAACTCGAAGAGGAATCCTATTGCCAAAGTAAGTGACGAAACAAGCTGATAAAAAAACGCTTTTGCAGGGGAGGAAAACTCTCAGATATCGCCAGGATTTGGAGGTAGCATATGGTCATTTACTCACATTGTTAAGTCACTGATTTGAATTTCATGTCCTTGGGGGTTAACACAGAGCAGGCAAGTCATTCTAGAAGACTCAGAGCTCCAGCACAATTGTGTTTCCTCCATACATTTGTGTTCTGCTCATATTACTAGTACGGCATAGGAAAATCATCATAGATTTGTTCACAAGCTTTGACACAGGTGAGAGTTCTTAGATGAATAAATACTGAGTCAGACTCTGAGGCAATAATAGACAGAGGGATAACCTCAACAGGAATATGTGCATTCTGGAATTTTCTCCACAAACTACCTACAATGAAGTCTTATTTCTTCAATCTGATAATGCTGACTATCTTTCTGTATATGTTACAGGAAATATATTCCATAGGAAATTTGATAGTCTGAAGACTAACCCTCCAGAATATCAAAAATATTTCTCCACTCAATTCATTTACTCCAAGAAAATAAAACAATGTGAAAAGTTCCCACAAGATTTCTACACTCAGAAACTAGGAGAGTCCTAAAAGACCTTTACAATTAATAGCTAATATTAAGGAAGAAGAGTTAAAGGAACAATGTGGGAAAACATTGATCTATAAAGAATGGGATTCCCATTAACAGCTTTACCTCCTCTTTCCAGTCTTCTTGGCCTTGGGCCACTGTTGAAATCAATAGAAGAGTTATCTGCCAGAATTCCCTTCCTTTCAGCTTTACATGAAAATATAGTTAGTATCAGCAATGATGTTGCAAGTATAACCTCACCTCAAGAAAAGAGATTTCTTTTCTTTCAAGGAGTTTTCACACTGGAGGGAAACTTTTAAATTATTATTTCCATTCCACTCAGAGTGATAGCTTTGTTACCCAGTTATATTGCATATTCTTTTCTTTTTGTTTGCATTTTAGGAAGTTCCTGGGTTTTCTATTTTAAAAAGATCCTTAGAGCTGGACTCGGTGGCTCAGCCTGTAATCCCAGCACTTTGGGAGGCTGAGGGGAGTGGATTGCCTGAGCCCGCGGGTTCGAGACCCACCTGG